ATCATAGAATGCCAATTTACTAGAAGAAAGTATTCTTGTGTTGAGGGAGTACTTGAGTGGAGGCCCAATGTCCTTCTGCTACCTTAATACTAAACCTATAGCATTTACAGAACTATTATGTATTTACGGAACTTAAATAGTTTTAGATCTGTAGAGAATGAAATGAAGAAAACTATCTTTTATCTGAAAATACTCACCCTTGCATTTTTGGCAAAATTCAATTGTTCTAGCTCTTATTAATGTGGGCGTCTTTTGGAAAAGCAATGTTTTGTTACAGAACCAGTATGTGTGCTAATAAAAAAGTAGAACTACAAACTAACAACGAGTAGCCATCACATTTCCACCATGCAGCCAGCACAGCCATTCATTCCACCACATGTGTACATACCCTTCCAGACCATTCTCTGGAATTCTGTAGATAGGAATTTGTAGCTTTAAGACTTCACTGTATCCGCTTCTATAATTTACCCTTTTCATTCAATGGTTTTCGCTTTTAACTTCAGTTATTATGCTAGAAAATACACTGTATTCACAGTTCCCCAGTTGAACCAGAATTTTTCTTTAACAGCTCTTATGTCCAGTTAACATTCTAACGATCCAGAACTACACATTATATTTGATTATTTGTGCCTTAGTCACCACCTAAAAGTAACATCATCCTTTCCTCATTTTTTTATTATACTAACTTGGTAGAGAGAGGTCAGGTTTTCCCAAAATGTCCTACTTCAGTTCTCTGTTGACTTGGTCACGGTGCCATTTAGTTTATTTTTCTGTCGCTTATATTTCCTGTAAACTGGATGTCACAGCCCAAGACGGATGAATTCATAAAATAATTCTGTTAGGCTGCATTATAAAACATTCTGTAGTTCACGTTGTATAACATCAGTCAAGACATAATGTTGATTTATCCTTAGTGATGTTAAGAGTAACAGCTGGATTTCAGAAGATAACACATGTATTTAGTGTATCTTTAGTAATTCTACTTTATTCAAACTATAGGATTTGCTTAAAGATAAAATTTTTAATCATAGTTAGATACAGACTACCTAAATAACAGTAATCTTGATCATTTTTCCTATAAGAATGAATAACCAGTCTGCGACTCTGTATTCTGGGGTTTGGTCTATAACCAGATTATCTCTTAACTGCTCCCAATTGTTTTTGAAATGTGTTTCTCCTCTTTGCGTAGCAAATTTATAAAATCATGCACTCGTGTGAAGTTACCGATAAATCAAAAAGTATTGCTACAGAGTTATCATTGTTAGATGTCAACTACTGGTTCAGCTCATAGTGTCGCTCTGGGTAGCAATTGCACAGGCCTGCACTGTCCTCACGATTGTCGCCCTGTTTGAGCGCCTTGTTATCGCCCCTGTGTCATTCTGTTTCTTGAATGGCCGTCCTCCTTTCCATGACACTCTACTTTGACAGTGACGGATCCCTCCTTATAGGATTTCCAAAATACTTGAGATGACGTCTCACCACCCTCACTTCTAAAGAGACATTCTGGCTTCACTTCCCCTTCGACAGGTTGTTCTGTGGTTTTCCTTGATGCTTTCAATATTTCTTACCACCACCACGTTCAAAGGCTTCAATACCATGTCTCAAATCAGGCACACCTTAGTCCTCAATGTAGCATCCTTGTTCTTTGACACTTTAGAGAGATCATGTACAGTAGATTGGTCCAGTGCATTGTGTCATCTGATTTCTTGACTGCTTTCCATGAGCATTGATTGTGCATCCAAGCAAAATGAAATCCGTAGCAACTTCGATCTTTTCTCCATTTATCATGATGTTACCTATTGGTCCAGTTTTCAGGATATTTTTTTTTAATTGAGTTGTGCTTTGATCTTCATCACCAAGTGCCTTAAGTCCTCCTTGATTTCAGTAAGGTTGTGAATGAGACTTCCTTCAATCCTGATGCCCTTTTTTTCCCTCCTTATAGTGCAGCTTCTCAGATTATTTACTAAGCATATAGATAATTAAGTATAGTGAGAGGATACAACCCTGACACACACCTTTTCTGATAGTAAACCTTGCGGCTTTCTCTTGTTCTGCTGAATCTGCTGTTTCAGGGTCTGTGTAGAGATTCCGAATGACCACAATGAAGTATTCTGGAATTCCTACTCCTCAATACTACTCTTAGTTTATTACAATCCACATAGTCACATGGCATGTCTTTGTGTATTCAATAAAACACAAGTAAATAGCTTTATCGTACTGTGCCTTAAGCCAAGCTTCATCTGGCATCAGCAATTATATCTCCCATTCCATACCTTCTGAATCTGACTTGAATTTCTGGCAGCTTTCTGTCAGTGAACTGTTGCAACGATTTGTTAATTGTATTCAGTAGTTTACTTGCATGTGACATTAATTATATTCTATAATTTCTACATTAATTGGAACAGATACAAATATGAGTCTCTTCCAGTCAATTGGCTAAAAAGCTATCTTCCAAATTTCTTCCAAGCTATATCAGTTTTTTGAAACATTTCAGTTAGTATTTTATCAATTCCTGTTGTCTGTGTTTCATTAGGTATCTTCAGTACGGCTTGGACTTCTACATTTAGTACCATATATTTGTAATTACATGCTACCTCTTGAAATGGTTAAACCTCAACCAGTTCTTTGTGGTACAGTGACCCTAGATTATTCCTTCCCATAGAAATCTTCTGTAGCACAAGTTTAGGCTTGAATTCTTCCTTCATTGCTTTCAGCTTTGAGATATGCTGAGCATATTCTTCGTTTTTGACTTTTTTCTTCTCGAGCTGTTTTCTGAAATTTTCTGTTTGACTTTTTTACTTCATTTCTTCTATTTTCTTTAGTCTGCATTCGATAGCAAGTTTCAGAGTCTCCTCTGCCATCTGCTCTGTGTTTTCATTCTTCCAGTCTTCAATGGCCCTTGGCCTCCTTCATGTGTGACGGGCTTGATGCCATCCCAGAGCCTGTCAGCGCTTCAGTCATTAGTGTGCAGTCTCTCAAATCTGTTCTTGAGATGGTCTCTAAATTCAAGCAAGGTCAACCAAAGGTCATATTAAACAAGAATATCAGAATGGGAAGCAGTGGTGGCAGTCTTCACCTCTGGATGCAATGTTTCCAGCTTTAACTCTGAAGAATTCTTTTATTTTAAATCATTTTATTGGGGGGCTCTTACAGATCTTATGACAATCCATCATTCAGTTGTATTAAGCACACTTGGACATTTGTTTGTACTCATCTTGGCTTCAGCGGTCATGTTGGGAAGGTGAGCATCACAGAATGCCTTCCCTGAAGAACTCGGTGCTCTTTAGGTTGCACCTTGTCAAAAAGCAGTTTGAGCATCCTTGGGGGCCTCAGATTGTCTCCTATCAACTCTCCTTAGAGTTTTATAAACAAGGAGAAATCTGAAGAGGCAAGATCAGCGCTGTTGGGTGGACTGGGTAAAGTTTCCAGGTGAATGTCTCATAGGACACACCTTGCTCACCTTGAATAATGAGCAGGTACTTTGTTGTGATGGAAAGAAAAAACGCTTGGCAAGACTTTCTAGGTGCTACTTTTATTTCCATTACATTTTCATTTCTTAACATTTAATCACAATAAGCCCCTATGGTTGTCCTGTGACCTGCATGAAAATCCATCAAGATCACTTGTTTGGAATCCCAGGAAACAGTTGGTATAGCCTTCTGAGCTGAATTTGCTGACCCAGCAGATCCCCCGTGAAAGGCTCTGTTTTGCTTTTAAGGCACCCTTGCAAGACTAAGATGAGTATATTTCTAAGAGAACTTGTCTGCCCCAATCCACTGATTACACAGACGTGTTTAAACTCATTTCTTTTAGAATAAAATTGTGCATGTAGGAACTGGACCCAAATAGCAATACTGTAGACATACCCTCATATCATTGTTATTTTACAGGCATTCCGAGCATGCTTCTTCCCAACAGTAGAATGCTAGCTGAGGCAATAGACAAAGCCCCCAAATCGCAGTAGCGGAACAGAACCAAGCATTGTTTCTTGCTCATGCTCAGTTCAAGCAGCTGTCCTGCCTGGATCCTTTTCTTCTAAGTGGGGGTTTCAGTCATCAGGTTGGTTCTGACTTACAGCAACTCTGTGTACAACAGAATAACATATTGCAAAGTCCTGCACTATTCTCAATTGTTTCTGTGTTGAGCCCACTGACCCTCCGTGTAAGCTCACTGCCTGGAACATGGGACTTCAAACCATCATGAAAAGAGAAGAGAGGAACATAGAATTCTCGAGAAGGCGGGGCGGTGGGGGGGTTGTTGAGCGGTGATGCCCCATGTATTTTACAAGCACTAGCAATCTCTGCCATACCTACCTTTATAATTTAACTATGCTTTTATGTCATGAAGAATCTTTCAACACAAGACAAATGCATCAGTTTTGTTTTGGGGGGTCTTTTTTGGGAGATGTAGGTATGTTTTAGAAAATTCTATACTCTAGCATTAGACAACAGCCCGCCCCCAGCCTCTTCCTCATTTTGACTCCTTGCCATCTCTCTTTATTTCTGGGGTAGTTCAGCTTGATAATCTCTTGTCCTTTTTGGTCCGTAAACCCATTCCATGTAGCTAAATTGTTGATATAATACACATTTTGTCTTCATTATAGCTGCTCATACATGTGTGCAGCTTTTTTAAAAATCTGGCTAGCATTTTATGAAACTGTATAATTCTTAAGCTAAATTTTTCAACTTATTTATATTTGTGTAACTGTCAAGCCATGACTATGTTTCTGAGGCTATTTAATTCCAAGGTTTGTACAGACTTAACACAATTCATATCTTACACATAAATGTCTCTTGCATCTTCTTGTGGTGCATCAAGCTATATCTGTCTTAGACTTTCACCAAAAGAAAAACTTTTACTCTTGTTATTTCATTTCAGGCCCTTGGCTTCCTCTATGCCTCTGGACTTGGTGTTAATTCAAGTCAGGCAAAGGTAAGACTGTCACATTTTTATTGTATGCTGTGATTTATATGGGGTAAATAGATGCCTGTTTTCAGTTCAGCATCTTTTCTTCTTCCACAGGCCCTGGTATATTATACTTTTGGAGCCCTTGGTGGCAACCTCATCGCCCACATGGTTTTGGTAAGTCAGACTTATGTGAAAGACGAATGGCACTGAGTAACAGAGGTAACACAAGGATTTATGGTTTGCGGTAGTCCAGGCTTTTCTAGCTTCTTGTTAGATATTTGCTTATTTTAGTTTCCTCAAACTAAATACTCCATTGACTACCCTTCAACTTCTTATCAATGAATCTAACAATTTAAATCTACAGGTAGATTTGTTAAAGTTTCATCAACAATACGATGAAAAAGCAGTTTTAAGTGAGAGCCCGTGTAATCTTCTCTTATGGGAAAATGTGCATAGTTCATTTGTAAAGTTCATGACTCTATTTTGATTGCTCTAGGAATTTTATTACTTATTTCCTACTACTTAGCTATGGTCTGGTTGTTGAAGTTGCAAAATACATTTCAAAGAAACTTTTTCAACTCTAAATAAAAGCAGTGCTAGTGCACTTGGATCACAGGGCAGCAAAATGACATGACCATCGTGGTTCGCTTTCATTGTCCACCTGATGTTGTCCTGCAGGGTTACCGCTACTGGGCTGGCATTGGAGTCCTCCAGAGTTGTGAATCTGCACTGACGCATTATCGCCTTGTTGCCAATCACGGTACCTACCCTTTCTTTCTTACCTTTACAACAGAAAAATACGGAATTACCTGAGCCACAGCGATTCTTATGAACAATTTGAAATGGCCTACATGGCTCCTATACGGTGTGGCCTCTTTACCATCGGTGATTAAATTAGATCTTAATTTCACTTTGGCTTCTAAGTCTGCTGTATTGTAAGGTGGCTTTTTTATTAATCATTTTATTGGGAGTTCTTATAGATATTATCACAATCCATAATTCAATTAGATCAAGCATAACTGTGCAATTGCTGCCACCATCATTTTCAAAACATTTTCTTTCTTCTTGAACTCTTTAATATCAGCTCCCCTTTATCCCTTCCCTTTCCTACTCAAACCCCCAGGAACCCTTATTATTGCATATTATTATTATTTGTTGTTGTGTCTTACAACATCTAATGTATCCGTTCACCTACAATTCTGTTATTTGTTCCCCTCAAGTGGGGTTAGACAGAGAAGGTGGCCCTAGACTATTCTAGAATTGTTTCCTTGAACCTAGAATCTGTTAGTACTTCTGGAATTAGACTCTTCCAACTGAGGTGACCTTTCTGACTTTCTTCCGTCTTGCTTCTCTGCCCCCATATTTCAGTTGCCAGTGATATCTCACTGACAGGAGGGTCAGTAGTGCAGCGAATACGACTACCGGATGAGGTGGAAAATCCAGGAATGAACAGTGGGATGCTAGAAGAAGATCTGATTCAATACTATCAGTTCCTAGCTGAAAAGGGTGATGTGCAAGCACAGGTATGTATTTCAGTGTCTGAGAGAAGGACTTACTACCTTGCATCTTTCAATTCCCGAAGGCAAGTGCTTCTGTCAGAAGAGGACATTTTTATTATTCAGAGCAGTTATTCCCGACCTCTTGGTTGGGATTACCTGAGGAGTTCTTTAAAACAAAAACAAGGATACCACACTCTCAAGATTTCCTTTGGGTTGTGCGGGATTGGGCCCAGGCTTGGCTGAGTCATAAAAGCTCACAGGGTGAATCTAGTGGACACCACAGTTGACAGTCACCTCTTGAAAGGAGCAACATTAACAATCTCCAGACACCAAGGACAGAGCTGGTATTTTCTCTAGAATGGTTGGAATTTCAGAGGCTTTTCGGTGCTATTTAATATTTTCTTTGCTTATTTCAAACCATAATTTCTTCAAGATCAATAACAGAAATAGCCTTTTGTAACGTAAATTATAGGATGTCCATCTAAGAAGTCATATATAATTTGTTACTTAATGGGTTAGTTTATTGCGGGGGGGGGGGGGGTGTTGTCAATTAGGTAAATGTGAAAACATCAGTCTTACATTCAGCACTTCAAACACATTTGATTTCAGCGCATCCGCTGCAGTCCCTTTGATGGTCCATCACTTCACCACTTCTTCCGTGTTTCCTGTTTCAATTGTTCCATTTTCTCTAGCCCTCTGAACTTCATCCTTTGGTTAATGCTGCCCTTTTAATCTTAAATGGGTAATTAATTTAACACAGGAATGACTTTAGTTTCTGGAGGGTAGTTAGGGCCGTAGCCTTGCAGGTTCCACCATCTCTGACCAGTAAGCCAGGTCTCTTGCATGGTGCTGAGTTCTGTTTCACGTTCTTCTCCCACTCGATCCAGGACCCCTGATGTGATTCTTTTTGGAGGAAATGGTTGAAAGGGCTGGGCACTGTCTAGTTCTTCTGGACTCAGGGTTGTGAAAACTGCTGCTCTTATTCCTGTGGTCCACAAGTCCGTTGGACTAATTATTTCGGTATGTGTTTTGATTTGCATCACTCTTCGTTCCTCTGGTCAGGGAGAGAAAGTAGGGGTACCTTAGAGAGCTGCTCATGAGCGTTCTAGACCCCAGTCACTACTCACCAAAGTAGGTGTAGCACACTCGTTTTGTGAACTCTGTTTTGCCAACTGACATTGGTGTCCACTGAGACTGTGGTGCTGATCCCCTAGCTCCAGCAACTCATTCTTTATGGATATTTTTATGATACCAAAATAAAAGGGGAACTTCAACAACTGTCATTATTTTTCTCTTAGGCTTTTAATTCTTTTCTGATGTATAAATATATAGAGATGAGCAATAGATAGAAGAATATCTAACAGAAAGGAGTTTGTTTGTTTGTTTGTTTGTTTGTTTTTTTAAATACCATAAAAAAACTTAATCTTAGCTCATAAGAATTATAATGTTACCTTGTCTTAATAAGCATTTTATTTTATACTAGAGAGCAATTAAAATCCAAAAAAAAAGAAGGAAATGCATATCAGCAAGGAATTGCTTAACTCCAATAGCACACTCCAAATCTAATGGAATACTGTATACTACTATGAGAGCTCTGGTGGCATAGCGGTTCCAAATTAGGCTGCAATCCAGAAGGTCAGCAGTTCAAAACCACCAGCTGCTCCTCCAGAGAAAAATGGGGCTACCCACTCTAGTAAACAGTTACAGTCCCAGAAACTCACAGGGACAGTTCTACCCTGTCCTATAGGGTCGTTATGAGTCGGCATCAACTCTATGGCAGTGATTGAGTATACAACTACTAACAGTTATGTGGAAAACTACTTTAAAAAATTAATTGGGGGGAAAAAACAACCTATAAATAAATAAGTTGATCTTAGTATATTCCATGAAAAAACTCAAGTTTTAAAAAAAAAATAATAAAATGTCATTTCTTATTAAACATATAGAAAAATGTACAAATTTTCAGTATGGAGGTCAAGAAATTATCATAACTATCACTAAAATGTTTTGAGATAGAGTAAAATCAGTTTTCCCACTGTCATATTTCCATATGGTTAGCTCTTACATTTTCTGTAATTTCTGTTGACCTGTGCCTATTTAGAAGTGAACTTCATTTCCATCTGGGGGGATTTCCATCACTTTCATCATTAGTTTCTAACTCAGTCTACTGTGGTCTATGATGGGTGCAATTTCAGCCCTTTGAAATTTCTTGGCCTTGCTTTATGGCCCATCCCTGTGATCGCTACATCCAGTATAGGTGTCAGCTGAGTCAAGTTTGTTCATATTGTTGTTCAACTCTTCTGTATCCTTAGTAATTTGTTTTTGTCTGCTTTTCCTATCTGGTGCTGAGAGCAGAATTTCCCCTACTTTCATTGTATTTGTTTTTCCTTCTTTCTCCATTTACATCCATCGTTTGATTTCTATATTTAAGGCTATGTTCTTGAGTGTATACAGACTTAGAAATGTTACCTGTCTAGTGGATTTTATATCATCAAGCACTCTTTATCTCTAAAAATGTGTTTTGCTTTAAATTACACTTTCATACTGGTCTTATTACACTACTTAGATAATATTGATATGGAATACATTTTTTCCTTTCAACTATCTTATACTTAAGTGTTTTTCTTATAAAAATCATATGATTTGTTTGTTTATTTTTGATTCATTATAGCACTTTTAAATTGAAGTAGTTAGTGGTATATTTGTGTTTTCTCTCGTTCTGCATCTGCTTATCCTGCTTTTCCATGCTCCCTTGTCATTCCTTTCTTGTCCTCCTGTGGTTGTGGTTGGAGTGTTTTTTTGTGACTGCATCCTTTTCCTGTGCTAGTTTGGTAGGTAGACATGTTTTCACTACTCTTTCTGTGGTTATCCTGGAGTTCCTGACAGTTCAGTGCTAGAGTTCTCTTGTTGCAGGCGGGAAGCCTGCATTTGATTGCTCTCCAGTGTAGCTCAGTGCAGCTATCACCTGTGGATTGCATGTTGCTGTGACACTGAACAGGTTTCAGCAGAGCTTCCAGTCGAAGGGAGACTTGGAAGAAAGCCTGGCCATCTACTTCCAAAATTTAGCCTATGGAAGCCCTGTGGTTCACACCTGTCCAATTCACAATGATCATGGGACGAGTACAGGACCAAGCAGGTACATAAGGTTGCTATGAGTCAGGGCAGCAAGAAGTGACTGTCCTACCTAGCACCACACCCATGCTTGGCTTAGCAAAATCTGATAGGAATGCACACCTACACCATTGCCTGGTCAGCATAAAGGCCTAAGAGTGATGCGTATCATTCTGTATACTTTTTTTTGACCACACAAGACATTGTTTTCTACCATCTATCCAAATTTAGATAGTCTCACAAATTTTCCTTTCCGTTGCACTTTGTTACTACATCTCCAGGCTTTCTGGGATCATGTCCCTCTGTCCAGAGAAACTCTTTCAGTATTTCCTTTACAGAACAACCATTGGTGAAAAGTTCAATTTGGGGTTGTCAGGAAATGGCTTATTTCAGGTTGATGCCAAAATAATTTAGAATTAAAATCAGACGGTTTAGTTTTTAAAAGTTGTAAGTTAAAGTAGAACAGAATCTTAAGTAGATATGACTAAATCTTTGCCTTGTTGAGTCACTCGTAGAATTAATAGGAACCTTTTTTACAATTTCCTAGTTTCTGTCTGGTCTACTTTTAATTGCACCCCCGTTACTGCCACTCACCCTTGCCTCATTTCCGTTAACTTCCAGGTTGGACTGGGACAGCTGCATCTGCATGGAGGACGTGGAGTAGAACAAAACCACCAGGTAACTTCCCTTCAAGTCACAGCGAGAAATGATACTCCAGATGCCTTTCTTGCTAAATTAACATTAGTGTTAAACTTGGCTTATCAAAATCTGATAGGATTTTGAAACTTGCATCATTTAGATTCCCATCAAATAAGCTTTCCTGATCTGACTAATCTCTATGTAAGCGTAAGAGTGAAAATGTAAATATACCTGAAGGTGGTGGGAAAGATTTTATTCATGCTAAAACCTGGTTCTCAATCCTCCCAGAACAAAAACAAACACAAACCCAAGTTTGGATTTCTATATGTGATAGAAATGTGTCTTAAAATTCCACTAGGAAATATGTGCTGGAACTGCGGAAGATTTTGTTTGTGAGAAACTAGGAGTGTGTCATAACAGCTGTCAGGCGTGTATCCAGTCACCAACTTTGGTCTGCCTTATTTCCTAAAGAGTGCTGCCCTGAGGTGCACCTACCACTTAGGTGTTCTGCCACTGCCTCCATTTCCTATGCTACAACCTGTGTTTGTACAACAAGCACCTGATCATGTGGCTTCCTATGACTCTGAAGACCGCGCTTTCAGTGTGACCGCCAAGGCTTTGTCCTAGTCTCTCTGCCTCCCCAGCCCTCTCCTCCCAGAGCTTTTCTGGGGGCTCTGAATGTATCGAGTGCCGTCCTGTCTACGGACTTCCGTGATGTTGGTCTCTCTGCCAAGAGTATTACTCGGCCCACTTTTTTTCACCTGATAATTCCCACTCAGCCTCCACAACTCAATTCAGATATCTTTCCTCCTAAGAAGTCTCTCCTAACCCCCAGCCCTTCTCCAGGTAGAGGGCATGTATCACAGTTATAATTTCTCAGGTTGTGTTCAGTGTGGCTCTTATCGTCAGGGTAAATTAATGATGATATAAGTTATTGAGTGTCTGTCTCCCTGCTGGAACAAGAGGTCCATGACAGCATGGACATTCCTGCCATACTTGACACTGTCCTCCAGACCTGGCAGTGCCTAGCGAGTGGAAAATATTTGATGAATGTTTGTCAGTGTAGTAAAACCCTGTTTTTCTATTATGCCAGTAAAGAATTCTAATTTAAATTATTACTATTAACTCTAAAAAATAGATTTTAGCAAAATATACAGGATTTAGTGATAGGCTAAATGACTTCTCTTTGCTCATACAGAGCTTTAAGTTTAGTAAGGGCATTAAGTATCATTATTGTATCAGCAGTTATGCGAGAAGTTGTGACGATTGCTAAGAAAGAACACTAGAAAGTCTCCTAGGTAGTGGTGGGATGTGGCCGTTGTTGGGAAGCCTTGTTTTAAAGATGTAAACAAGGTTGGAGAGCGAAGCTAAAATCATTCCAGACCAAAAAGAGTGATAGGTGTGTGTGTGTGTGTCTGAGAGAGAGACTCTGACTCTGGGGCAGGTAGGAACAAAATGAAGCAGTACTGAGATGAATAAAGCCCGACTATGCTCACTTAGTTGCTGCAACACTTGAAGGGCTACAAAGGACCATCATGTTCAGATTTAACAAGAGTGGTGTTGCTTCTTGTATAAGAAGTAGAAGACCTCAAGAATAAAGGCAAGAGATGAGGCAGAGAAGTGTGCGTGAAGCTCGGATGAGAGATACTGTAGCTTGGACTGGGTTTGTGGTAATGGAGGAAAATAGATTCAAAATATGAAAGCAGGACTTAGTGATGGATTGCTTATGAGACTGAAGGGGACCAGGTATCTTGATCAACCAAGAGATGGTGTTGCCGCTATTTAATTCGAGATACTGGGAGAAAAACAAGTTGGGTTTAGTGAAGATTCCTGTTTTAGTAATGTGTTCAAGCAGGGAATGTTTGGAAGCAGTTGACTAATCTCATTTGGAGAGGAAAATAGGAATGTAGGAACTGCCACCATCTCCTTGGCTAGTGAAGCCGTGAGAGCAGATAAGATTGCTCATAGAGTAAAGTGGGAATAGAGTTCAAACTCAAGCACTGAGGAACTCTAATGATTCAAATGGAAGATGAGTATTAAGAGGACGTCAGCAGTACAGCTAGAGAGGTACAAAGGATAGCAGGAGAGATTGGCATCTTGTAAGCCTAGCTAAACAAGTCTTTGAGGAAAGAGCCAAGCTGGGTCGGATGCTGCAGAAAGAGGTGAAGTGAGATAAGAGAAAGTAGGTATTGGCAATGTGGAGGTCACTGTTGACCTTGAACTGTTTTTGTTGACAGTTCTGGAATCCATTTTGGGACTGGACTGTAGAATGAATGTGGTAAATGAATTAACGGAGAGAGTGTGTGTAGCCATGTCACTTGAGCAGCTTGACTACAAAGGAAAGTAGGTAACTAACTGACGACGGGCATTGGTGAAGAGAAATCAGGTCCCAAGGAACAAGGAGTCTTCGGTATTTTGACTTTGGGTTTATTTTCAATAAGGGATCACTAGGCTCTGTTTGAGGAGGAAGAGGTCAGAAAAAAAAAATAACCAATGGAACAAGGTCCTTTCTAAAGATGGAGAGTGCAGTTGAGACTTGTGTTAATGAATTCATACTGATGCCAAACTATTTAGTTGTGTAATCTTAAATAGACTAATGACTCTCTCTTAAATAGTACCCAAAAAAGGAAAATATGTTTTTTTAGAATAATATGAAAATATGTTCCCTGCCTTGTGAAGACTACAGTACTTAGTTTCTCATTTTCTGCCAGGTTAGCCTACCAGTGGAGAAGTAGAGGAAAGAAGTGAGCTGGTCTTAAATGTCCTTTAAACAGTCTCATGTTCACCTGGCCTGTAAATTCCTGATGTCATCTTGTCTGGGAACATAGATTTCTTTGCATCTGCTAACTGTGAAAACTTAATGATAAATCATATCTTGAGGTGATAGCTAATGAAATTTCTGTATTGCCCTATTTTGAAATTATCTTCATAAATTCTTTACTCACAGAGAGCATTTGACTACTTCAACTTGGCAGCGAATGCTGGCAATTCCCATGCTATGGCCTTCTTGGGAAAGGTATTGTACATCCTATGTGAACTGCTTACATACTAGAAACACATCTTGTTTTCAGGATATACAACATACTAAAAATAAGTGAGAAGGGAAATTTGCAGTCCAAAGATATTTTATCTTAGGCAGTCATTTTCCTGCGTAACTTAAAGATAACATAGTTAACTTTAGCATAGCCCATTATTGTGTTGATTCCCATTTAAATCCGCTTTGGCTGTGTTTACCCCTACTTCTGTGTATATTTTATTGCATAACGAGCTAGTGATCCCATGTCCTGCCATGTTTTTACTTTTTTTGCTAAATCTGCCATAGCTGCCTATTCACTTCTGTGTTGCATAGAGTCAAAATAAGTATTTGTTGAGGCTGCTTAGGGGCCACAAATGCCCAAGCACGTGACTGCTAACTTAAAGGTTGGTGATGCAAACCCACCCCGAGGCGGCTTGGAGGAAAGGCGTGGCTGTCAGCTTCTGAAAGGTCACAGGTGAAAACCCAGGGAGCAGGTCTCCGAATGAGAAGGCTGGGAGAAGGGTGAAATGGGAGAGGATTGCAGCTCTTGGTGACCGGGGCTCTCTTTTCCAGATGTATTCAGAGGGCAGTGAAATCGTGCCTCAGAGTAATGAGACAGCACTGCACTACTTTAAGAAAGCTGCTGACATGGTAAGACGTCACGGCTCAGTCTATCGCAATACGCACCACAGACCGTTACTGTAAGTGGGCTTTCGGCTGCTACCCAGCAGCTCTGCAGGAGAAAGACCCGAGGAATCTGCTGTGGTAGAGGCTCTCACTGCCACCACATGGGCTCTCTCCTGTCAGGTGGGGTCACGGTGAATGGAATGTGGATTGACTAGCACCAAACAATAACAACTGTGCCGTAGTAAATCAGGGTCCTGTAGCCAGGGTCAGCCATCACCAGCCATCACACAAGTGTCTGTCTGCGAGGGGCCTTAAACAGGTCATGTGAAAAAATGGAACCCAAAGATCATGGACACTGGCTATGGACATTTTGAATCTCCCTTAGAGATTAGTTATGCAAATAAATTAACTAGAAAAGCCCTTCCAAGTAAAGTTGGGTTTTGGTTTTGTTTTTTTCAGGCACTAGACTATTGAACATCAAGTCTCTGTTTAAATGTCTTTAAGGAGATTCAATCCAAGAGTTAATGATTATATTCATGGAATTGGCACTTAGATTATCTATTTTAAGGAGATTCAATCCAAGAGTTAATGATTATATTCATGGAATTGGCACTTAGATTATCTACTCCTATTTGTATTGTAACTTCAGGCTTAAACTCTTTCATAATTGGGTGCTTTAACCTTCATGTATAACCAGACATTCTTTGGCCCTGTGTTTGCCTCAGAAGACCATGGGTGCCAACTGTACCCACCTGCTACCAGGTGTGCACTGAGCTCGTTGCCAGTGTAGTTCTGTTCTAGTTCCCGAGGAGGACTGTGTGTACAGATGTGCTGCTCTTGGTTCTGTCCCTCTGAAATTAGGCAAGTTCTAGATTTGTCTCTCTTAGTTTTCCAAGTTACAGTTCCCTTGGCTCGCAGCATTCCCGTCCTCTTCCGTGTCCTGCAGTTATTGCCGCTGCCCTGTGGAATCTGCTTTATTACTGGAGAAGAGCTTGCCACTCCAGTACACCCACATCCTACTGTCAGTTTAGTTGTGGGTCTTTTTTTTAAATCATTTTATTGGGGGCTCGTACAACTCTTATCAAAATCCATACATCCATTGTGTCAAGCACATTTGTACATTTGTTGCATCATTGTTTTCAAAGCATTTTCTTTCTACTTGAGCCCTTGGTATCAGCTCCTCATTGTTTACCCCTTCCCTTGTCTTTTTTTAAGGTGAACAAAGTTGAAAGTTACATTCATGGTACAACAAAAGTTCATTTTAATTTTACTTTCCAATTTACACTTCAGAAAACTGTAGAAAGCTCCCCAGATGTATTAAAAACCTTCTGTCTAGTCAGATGAGAAGCAGAAAGATTTGTTTTGAATTGCAGAGTATTAATCATGCTCTTCGAGCCCTGGGGGCACAGCTCTGTCCAGGAGGAAGATGAGGCAGTCTGCCTCTATGTAGGGTGACACCTTGGAAACCCCAGAGAGCAGGTCACCACGAGGCATGGTCGACTCGACGGCAACGGAGTTGGGTTTGGGTTGAAGATATGTTTTGTATATGTTTGTAAATTATCTATTTTGCTGTTATTTTTCCTTTAATTCAGTTACTCATTTATTCTTGCCTGTGTTTGAATGATTCCTTTTCCTCTTGTCTCATTCATCTGATTCCCAGGGCAACCCGGTTGGACAGAGCGGGCTTGGCATGGCTTACCTCTATGGAAGAGGCGTGCAAGTTGTAAGTGTTGAAGCTAACATTCTGACTGTAGAGAGCAGTCGGTGCGTGCAGCAGGGAGGGGAGGGATTCCTTAGGCCCAGGTGAGGAGGCTGTCTCATCACATCCAAAGCTGAACCTTATCCTTGTGACTCCTGAGTTCAATTCATTCCATGCCCCACACCTCCTCAGCCTTGCCTCACATCCCCTCCCCAACTGCCTTTTTTAGGAGCCCTGAGTCTCTGCCACTTTTTCCTGAGGAGGAGAAACTGTTCCTCAACTGCCTTTGACCCTCTCTCCCCTTCTTTTCCATCTCTCCATGACTTAACATCTCCCTTGCTTCTTTCTTCTTCACTCAGCCTCCACATGGGCCAGACTCTTCCATGCCGGAGGGGAAAGTGTTCCATCCTACCCTCAGCCCTTCTTGTGACCCACTCTCCTCTCGCACTTGCCAGTCACAAGTTGCTCTCTCTCAAGCCTTTCCCTACAAATCCAAGTTCCTCCAAAGAATGAGGTCTGTTCTGCCAGCCACTCTCCAACCTGCAGCCACTCAGGCTTCACTTGGATCATTATTCTAAGTCACCAGGAACTTCCTGTCAGCACCAGTTGACATTTTGGGGTTCTGCCTACTTGAACCCATGCTTTCCTGAGGTTTGGTGACTAGGCTTCCATGGTTCTCCGTGGCCATTGCTTCTCATTCTTTGGCCCTGTCCTGGGTTCTCATTGATGCCCTTCCTCATCTGTGTGTGATGTCAGTGAGCAATGCATTCTTGTAAGCTGTGCCTAAAATGAAGAGCTAACTAATAAGAGTATAACCTCTATAGATATTACCTAACACAGTAATGTTATATCATTTCAAGTTATTTTAGTTATTTTAAGATGCTAAAAATCTATAATAATCTTTAACTTTTCCCTGTGGACACTGTGGATATTGGAGGTCTAATAATCATACAGTGTTTGATAAACTATACCAGAAAGGAGCTAGAAGGGGAATGGTCATCTTTATTATTTAGTATTAGAAATTTTCATGTTTAAAAAAGATCCATTGGTTAGTAGAAAAGATATAACTGTTAATACGTGGTTTGTTTTACCAAGTGTTATTTATGCTTTCTAAGAGCTAGTATAAAAGTCATTTCACCAAATTCTGTATGCCTTAAATGCTAATCCCCCAGTGTCTAGAAGTATATTGCCATCTCTGTGTTATAAAAAATAAGAAAGTAGTCTTTTATTTTAAAAAGTAGATAATACATTTGCCAGATCAACATGTTTATCTTATATAACGTAATGAAGCCAGTTACATCACTCATGGAGTTACATCACCAACATCCATTGCCATATTTTTCGTCCTCACAAACAAACACATTGCATGCTAAACAGACATTCCCCCTTTTCCCCTTCTTTACATATGTGTTAACCACTTTAAATATTTTCTCCATACGTTTATCTGTTCTAACTGTTTCATATTAGTGAGATAATAGAATAGTTTTCTTTCTACACTTGATATATTTTACCCTGAATAATAATTTCAAGATTCGTACATACTGTGGTTTGTATCAGGACTTCATTAGGTTTTTTTTAATAATGCCTCTTTAAGAGTATTTTGTGTACATTGGTAATACCTTTTAATGAATGAATTCGCCTAACATCTGAGAACATCAGCTCTGGTCACGTGGCCTCTTTTACCCACAGAATTACGATCTGGCACTGAAGTACTTCCAGAAAGCGGCTGAGCAAGGCTGGGTGGATGGGCAGCTGCAGCTTGGCTCCATGTACTACAGTAAGTAGCATTACGATGGGCGATGGCTACACCAAGACAAAAGTAGCCTAGTCCCCACAAGATGGCGCTGTGATGTAGACATGCAGCCTACAAATCCAGTGACTTGTGCATCTTGTTTTTCATTGTAAGTTGTCATTAATAGATTGTCTCTTTCTTGAGGAAGAAGTCTGGCTTGTATATAGAGTTTTACTTTTCATATGTGAAACTTCGATTAAATCCTATTTCAGGCAATTACTGACATCTCGTGTGGTTATCCTTGCAGATGGCATTGGAGTGAAGAGAGACTATAAACAGGCTTTGAAATATTTTAATTTAGCCTCTCAGGGAGGCCATATCTTGGCATTCTACAACCTAGCCCAGATGCATGCCAGCGGCACAGGTGTGATGCGATCATGTCACACTGCAGTGGAGGTAAGGTGACTTTGCTGCCGCCTTACTAAGTAAGGGACATTGATCTGCCAAGTAGGAAAGTCGACCCTGTCATTTTGGTTATTCTGCATGGTTTTGTTTTTTTTGTAGAACAGAATTAGACTCAGCATTGAAATGCTTAAGTGAGAATCTGTGGCCTTGAGTATTACTGGTACACTCCAGTTTTAGTTTGTCTGGCCCCACTGGAGGCAGTGTTGCTAGAGGCAGGTTTTGTTGTCTGCAGTATCTTAGCACCTAGGATAGTACCTGGTAGATAGTCAGCCTTCAGAAAAAGGAATGTGGAATGCCAGTTGCTCAGGGGAATGCTTCCTCTTCCCCTTTAGTTGTCTCATCTGGCACATTAGAGTGGCATGCCTCAGTGCTAGGAAACCTCTCCCAGCCTCTCTGTTTCAGTCTGCGCACTTTGAAAGTGGACCGTTAACAACTTAACTCGTAGGGCTTTTGGAAGGATTCAATGAGTTAATGTATGGAAATCAATAGAACAAGACTTGGCCAGGGGGAGGTGGGGAAATGAGCTGATACTGTGGGCTCAAGTAGAAAGAAAATGTTTTGAAAATGATGATGGTAACAAATGTACAAATGCGCTTGACACAATGGATGGATGGATGAAGCTCTATGAGCCCCCAATGAAATGATTAAAAAGAACAAGATTTGGCACAGAATAAATGGTACATGATTGTGTACTGCCATTGCCATGAACCTGTGGACTTCTAAAAGCTAAGTGGAAAGCTTCAATGTGTCTCTCAAACTTGGGTGTAAATGTATTAACAATTTATTAAAGCTGCCAGAGATTCAGGCAAACCTGAGAGAAGCACGTTATGGCATCTCATTCTACTTTTTCCATTTATTGATGTTCTTTGTCCTCCTCGTAGTTGTTTAAGAATGTTTGTGAACGAGGCCGATGGTCCGAGAGGCTGATGGCTGCCTACAACAGCTATAAAGAGGGCGACTACAATGCCGCGGTGATCCAGTACCTCCTGCTCGCTGAGCAAGGCTATGAAGTGGCACAGAGCAACGCAGCCTTCATTCTAGACCAGAGTGAGTTGCTCTTAGTGCTGCCTTCGACAGAGCACCAGGCTGCACATCGGGTGGACCTGCTAAGAGGAAAAACATTCTTCTCTTGTTGCAGATGAAACTTAACAACATACATATTTAAATGATTTTCTCCCCTCACATCTCTAAGCCATCAAACAGTGTTATAATTAGAGTTGATTATCAGTATTAATTAACTGATTTGACCTTCATTGTAAAATCAACTGCTTTCAAAAAACACAGTTTGCAAAATACAGAGGATAAGAAAACATTGTTTTTCTAGAAGTAATCAATGGCTCAGCAGTTAGTCTTGTCACTGGCACTGTGACAAATCCACGTTTCAGGAGATAGTGACTCCCTGAACCCATGGATTCTTTTGATTTCAGTATCTTATGCAATCCTGGTTGAATATCAGTACTTGTTTAATGCCTTTTATATTCCAATTCTTGTTTAAATTATGCTCCAAATAACCACCCAAGTTCGCAGTGTCTAATCTGTGCCCTGGGGGTGTGATTTGTGTGTCGTTTCTTTCCTCCCAGGAGAGGCAAGCATCGTAGGTGAGAATGAGACTTACCCCAGAGCTTTGCTGCACTGGAACAGGGCTGCCTCTCAAGGTGAGTCATTAGTTCTTTTTTTCTGAGTCATTAGTTCTCTGGTCAGCACTTCACCCTGAGCCCTCTCCATTGCTCTGTGTCTCCTATAAAGCTTAAAGCATGTCACTCATTACCTGAAAATTAAGTAGGGATACTGTTGCTTAAGGTATTTGCATTATGACTGGTATTTACCTTTGAAATGGAAATTCTTGTCCCAGGGTTCCTAAATTGAATTGCACATACTTTTGTATTGCATGCTGTGATTCGTTCCATGGTCTTTAAAAATCGAGGCTTTGAGTAGACTATTTAATATAATACCAATCTGAACCCTAGCATTTCCCCAGTCTTTTTCTTTTGAGTATTTTCTTACACACACTCCTTTCAACATTAACATCTCCCTAGCTCTACTCCAAAATGAACTGATTTTCAATGTAAAAACATTATAGAAGCAAAGAATGGTCACTTGAAGAACATTATTCTGAATGAACAAGGATCCCAGCGGATGCCCTCCGGTGCCAATCAAAAAGTCCTTGGTTCGAACCACCTGGTCACTCTGCAAAGGAAGATATGGCAATCTGCTTCTGAATAGACTTAGAACTTTGGGTACTCCAGGGGGCTGTTCTCTTTAACATGGGACCACTTTGAGTCAGAATAAACTCAGTGGCAAGAGTTGGTGGTGCGGTAGTTAAAGCACTTGGCTACTGACAAAAAGGTCAGAACTCAACCCACCAGTCCCTCCAAAGGAGAGCGATGTGGCCATCTGTTTTCATGAGGATTACAGCCTAAGAAACCATGTGGGTCAATTCTACTCTGTCCTGTGGGGTTGCTGGCTATCAAAATCAACTCAACAGTTTCAAGTTTTTGTTTTGGGAACCAGGGAGACACCACTCACCCTTTTTTACCTCTCACTGATTGCTACGAAAGCTCATTACCATCAAGCCAGTTCTCACTTATAGCAACCCTATAGGACAAGGTAGAGCTGGGCCTACGGGTTTCGGCGGCTGTAACTCGACAGGAATAGAAAGCTTCTTCTTGCTCCCGAGGAGCTGAGTGGTGGTGTCAAACTGCTGATCTTGGCTTAGTAGCCCAACGAGTAACCACTACACCACCCGGGCTCCTGATCACTACGAAGGCCTCCATCAAATAGCAACACTTTTAGTTTAAATGTCTGCTGATTTTATATTAAGGGCTTTGTTAGAAAGTTATGTGCTAAAAACTGAAAATAATTGTTTTTTGGAAACTTATTAGCAGGAAGAGAATGAACCATTTTAATTTTAAGCACACTGCATTTACTGATGGTCTTGTATTTCGCTTTTCGTTAAGGTTATACCGTGGCCAGAATTAAGCTAGGTGACTACCATTTCTATGGCTTTGGCACTGATGTCGATTACGAGACGGCATTTATCCACTATCGTCTGGCATCTGAGCAACAGCACAGCGCACAAGCCATGTTTAACCTGGGCTACATGCACGAGAAAGGACTGGGCATTAAACAGGTGAGTGTGGCTTCAAAGCAAAGGTGATCCGGGGAGCATCTGCACTTTTCTAGGAAGTAAAACTTGCTCAAGTTGTCAGCCACGCAGTCCTGTGAAGATTTTGCACTACGGCTTTAGAATTAAAAGAAAACGGAATTTTTCCACAAAGTTTCTGAAGCTCCCCCATCTTAAAGAGGACCACCCTTCTGTCGCTCCACTCCCAGCACACCTGCATCACACAGGGGATTAAGCTAAAATTGACTCAGGAAAATGGAAAATCATTACTGCTTCTATTGATAATTCCTTGTTAACTTATTTGTAATTCGTACACCTTTATAACGAATCTAACATTTTCCCAGACTTATTGTGCAAAATTTTACCTGCATGGTCTCAAACGAATTTTGAGAAACAATGTATTTTCTTACATTTTAAAAAGTACATAAGCAAACTGTTTGTTGAAGTAGTGGTTTCGTTTTGTTTTGTTTTTACTTCATGAACTTGTATTTCCAGTCTACTATTTCCACATACTCATATTCTTAAGTAATGTTTGTAATGTTCAGTCTAGTAGTGATCACTCAGTTATGTTTAGTAGCTGACACACAAAAATATATATATTCCAATCCTGAATCTTATGCTCTCTGATTATAGTCCTCTTAAGTTTTTTGGTTTTTTCTTACTTTTATTGGAAGCTCTTACATCTCTTATCACAATCCATACATTCATCCAGTGTGTCAAGCACATTTGCATATATATGCCACCGTCATTATCAAAGCATTGTCTTTCCACTTGAGCCCCTGATATCAGTTCCCCATTTCTTCCCCCTCCCTCCCCTATGTTCCCTCCCTCATGAACCCTTGATAAGTTATAGATTATTATTTTCATATCTTACATCGTCCTCTGTCGCCCCTCACCCACTTTTCCATTGTTCGTCCCCCTGGGAGGGGGTTATAGATTGATCCTTGTGATCAATTTCCCCTTTCTTCCCCAACCCTTCTCTAATCCTCCTGGTATCTCTACTCTCATTGTTGGCCATGAGGAGTTTATCTATTCTGGATTCCCTGTGTTGTGGGCTCTTATCTGTAGCAGTGTGCATGTTCTGCTCTAATCCAATTTGTAAGGTAGAATTGAGGTTATGATAGTGGGAAGAAGGAAGCACCAAAGAACTAGAGGAAAGTTGTGTGTTTCATCAGTGCTATACTGCACCCTGACTGGCTCATCACTTTTCTGTGACCCCTCTGTGAGGGGATGGGGGATGTCCAGTTGTCTAAAGGTGGACAATGGGTCTCCACTCTGTGCCCCAGCCCCCCTCATGCACATTGGGTGTGATTTTGTTCTGGGTCTAAGATGCCTGATACTTGATCCCATCGACACCTCATGATCACATGGGCTGGTGTGCTGCTTCCATGGAGGCTTTGTTGCTTCTCAGCTAGATGGCCGCTTGTTTATCTTTAAGACTTTAAGACCTCAGACGCTAGCTATATCTTTTGATAGCAGGGCACCATCAGCTTTCTTCACCACATTTGCTTATGTACCTGCTTTGTCTTCAGCAGTCGTGTCAGGAAGATGAGCATCATTGAATGCCGATTGTTAGAACAAAGTGTTCTTGCAGTGAGAGGGAGTACTTGAGTGGAGGCCCAATGTCCATCTGCATTCTTAATTCTTAACATATAGATAGGAGTACATAGTTCTGTTCCCCTCATTATATATTAATATATTTACATGTGTACATGCCTGTATTTAGACCTCTATAAATGTCCTTTGCCTCCGAGTTCTTTCCTCTATTTCCTCTTGTCCTACCATCATGTTTGGCCTTCATTCAGGTTTAGTAATTCTTCATTGTTACATTGCCATTGATTAAGCCCCACTAGGCATCCTACGCCCTTCTCTCCATTGATTTTAGTTTCCTTTTCCCCGGTTGTTTCCCCCTTTCCTTTCTCCCACCTCCTCTTCTCCCGCATCCCCCTGGAACCATTGGTCCCATTCTTTTCATCTCTGAATTATTTATCCTGCCTATCTTATCTAGATAGACATGCAGATACATTACTAAGTGCAGAACCCAGGCAAAGCCAAATAAAACAACAAAAGAAGTCAAAACCAACAAAACAAGAACAACAACCGAAAAAACTGAAAATAGCAATAACAAAAAGAAAGCCACTGACAAAAGTAGAAAAGCCTATAAATAGTTGAAGGTCTGTTTGTTGGCCTTTGCGAGTGTTTCCCAGTCGAGTCTGTTGGGGTGCCCCACTCTGCCTCCAAAGTCCCCGAGGATCTCATCACTTTGCTCCCCTTGCTGCTCTGTTGCATGTCCTTAGTGTTTCTCCCCTGCGTGGTGGGGTCAGATGGTGCGCCACTCCCGCACTGTGTCTCTGGTGTTGTCCTCTGCAGTGCTAAGCTTTAGTGAGGGACAGGTCTCGTGGTAGAGCCCTTTTAGTTTTAAGAATAACTCCAGAGAGGTTATTAGTCACAGGTAATCAGTTATTCACCCAGTCGTGTTGACCAAATCAATATAATAATATAATTTTTCATAAAATTGTGCTTTAATTTGCTCAGGTTTTTGTTTTGAGCAAGTTAAGGCATACTGGCTAAGGTGCCTTTCAATAATATGATGGAGTACTTTCTAAAATAAATAATTGCTATATCCTTTGTGGATTTAGCCTTTAGAAATGCTCTTTCATCTTGATAGATGTATAAGTGGAACCTGACTTTCACATAAATAAGTATATGGGTTGTCTGTCCCCCTGGGAGGAAGTCACATATAGTTCCTTGTAATCGGTTCCCTCTTTCCTACCCACTCTCCCTTTACCTTCCCTGTTTCGCCACTCACATCATTGGGCCTGTAGAGCTCATCCGCCTTGGATTCCCTGTATTTTCAGTTCCTATCTGTACCAGTGTAC